AGCTGAGCTGCTCCACGCGGGGGTCCTTGGGTCCTCCAGGCTCGTCAGTCTCCTGCAGGAAAGGGGTTCCATTTCTGCCTTAAAGGAGGAGCCCAAGGGGCAAGACTGGCAGTGGCCGCGGCTCCCAGGTGCCCAGGCCCCTCTTCTGAGGCTGCTGGCCAGACGCGCTGGGCTGGCAGGCAGGTGTGGGCATTGTGTCCAGCAGTGGCTTCAGCGTGGGGAGCAGTGGGGCCTGGGGAGAACCCGAGCAGGAAGTCAGTGGTTACCGGACAAGGGCTGCATGGTCAGGGAACCGGGGGCAGGGGGCAGGAGCACCGGGGCAGGAGCCAAGCTCTGCACAGGAAACCCAGGCCTCCCGCGAAGTGCGGGGGGGAGGAAGAGGGATTCTGGCAAAATGAATGACTGACCAGTCTGGGAGACCGCTGGGTCCCCAAACGTCAAAAATCACCCTGCATCGCTGACTCTGAATAAAGTACGAAGCAAGAAAAACAGTTTAAGACACTTCAAACAAAGTGATCGAGACATTTTACAAACTTAACAGAAATTGTTTAGTGTAAATGCTTTAATGGTGGGAAATTCCCTAAAATTCACTAATTTTTTGCTTTTGTAAACAATAATTAAAGCAGGTTGGAAAGCAGTGTTTCCCTTTGAGCTACAGTAATTACCTGAGAAACTTATACACAGGGAGGGAGGAATGGAGGGAGGGAGGGAGGGAGGGAGAGAGGGAGGATTGAAGAAATTTTATATTTCTTAAAAAAAAAAATTTCTCAAATGCTAGCTCATTAGTTTTTCCCTATACCCCATTTTTAAACATTTTACAAAGTGTTTGGAGACACATCAAATCCTATGGAGTGCACAGTCAGAGTCTACAGGAGACGCTTCCTGGCAGCAGTGGGCCTCTGTGCGGGAGTCAGGGATCCCAGCAAAGACCTCCCGGCTCTACCCTCTGCCCAGAGCATGGCTGCCAGTGGCCGTGCCGCCCTGACCGGACTGTCCCACAGTGCAGGTCTGGGGACTGTGGTGTGTCACTATTTATTTAGGACGCTCTCTGCTGTCAGGTAAGAATCCAGGTGGCAGTGGGCTGCTGAGGCAGGGGCCGGGGGGCCGGGGGGTGAGCAGGTATTTGCAATGGAACTGGGGACAGCGACTACACTCTGTTCAACACTTCCACCTCCGCTGGAGAGTAAGATCCACACTGGTGTCTACATCAGCATGACACTATTCCCGACTCATAAGAAAGTGACAGAAAAACTAGGAAATTATAAGTGGGAGGTTTAATAATGGCAGAATGTCTTTTTTTTAAAAAAAAAAAAAAGTAAAAATGGAAAATGAGGCTGGAATCAGTGAGGTTCTGAGTGGCTCATTTGTAAACCAGCCAATAAAAACCACTTACTGCCGTGAGTTAACGAAATGGTATTTGCCGCAGCCAAACAAAGGCTCCCAGAAAAAACACATCCGGCCGAGACTCCTGGCTCCGGTGAGAGCAATGGCTCACAGATTTGAGAATTGGGGAACAGAGCAATAGTTACTTTAAAAAACAACAACAGCCGGTGATTTGATGAATCAAGAGGTGATGTTGACACTGCTCAGATGTTGTTTACTTGAGGACTGAGAGCCAGGTTTGAAGTGATTAAGGAATCAACCGATCGGAAGTCTCTGTGGACCATCAAGAATCCTTTCAGAGAAGCTGAGGAACACGAATGGACTCTGATGGGTGGTGATAAAAAGGTGTGCAGCAGGAAAAGGAAAAATAGGACACGTTACAAAACTTGTGAAAATGTAATGCAGTTAGAGCCTAATGACCTTTATTGTCCTATCCATGCAGGGACTTTGTGGATCACCTTTGACCTCTATGACTTGTGACTTTGTAAATAACAGCTCTGTTGGCTCTTAGGGACATAACTACCATCAGTCATGTCAACTCTTGTCAGAAATGGAAGCTAGATATAAAAATAGAATTCAGACCTTCCTCACTTCACCAAAGTTTAATAAAAGCTTAGCAGGGTTAAAATTTCACCTGGATTTTTTTGAGCACAGGACCAAAACCAATTTTTTTGACCGAAAGTAATTGCCTCAACTACTTTTAATTATAGACATGATACTACTTCTAATGAATTCAACCTAAAATTAGAAGGTAGCCTATTGCTTGCGTGTGGAGTCGGTGCTGCCACACAGTCATTTCCACATCTGAGGTTGGAGTCTCGAGCACAGTCAAGCTGCTCCAAACACTCCCATGCTGTCAGAAGGTACAGCGAGAAGGGAGCTCGCCACTCTCAGGCACAGTACTGGGTCTGTTTCCTGAGCCCAAACCACAGGTCCAGCTGTGGCTTTTGGACCTTGATGCAAATGTAAAAAAAAAATCATATTTCAAAATCAATTTAACTGTACACCTAACCTTCAAATAGGACTGATTAATATATAGTTCTAGAGGCCTAGTGCACGAAATTTGAGCACTGGAAGGGGGTGTCCCTCAGCTCAGCCTGTGCCCTCTCGCAATCCGGGACCCCTTGGGGAATGTGCAAATGCTGGTTTAAGCCCCTGAAGGGTCCCAGATTGTGAGAGGGATATCCAACTGCCAGTTTAGGCTGGCCTGTGGGGATTGGTCATAAACCCCCAGTCAGACCTCTTCCGAGGGATGTAGTAGTGCACCAAGAGCAGGAGGCCAGGGAGGAGCCAGGACTGGGGGCATCCTGGTCGGCTGCGCCTGCTGCCACGGAGGTGGGAGAGGCTCCCGCTGCCACAGCTGCCCTCACCAGCCATGAGCCTGGCTTCTGGCTGAATAGCCCTCTCCCTGTGGGAGTGCACTGACCACCAGGGGGCAGCTCCTGCATTGAGCATCTGCCCTCTGATGGTCAGTGTGCATCATAGCGACTGGTAGACCGGTCATTCTGGTTGTTCCAGTTGTTTCGTTGTAACGGTCGCTTAGGCTTTTATATATGTAGATAATGGTATAGTAAAAGGTGAACATCAAGATCAGAATCTAAGAGAACTCTGCAAATGACTTCCAGGTGATAAATTTTAAGTTTGTGAATTTATACCAGTATTTCACAGTACTTATTTGTGTGAAAAATCATTTTGTAGATGAAATATGTTAAATATTATTATATGTAGCACTAAACACTACATTTCAACCTCCATTAAGCAAAAGATTATCCCCCCCCCAAAAAAATAATACTGAGATCAACTTATTCTTATTTGGACTGTTGTTATTCTCATTTGGATTCTTATTTTTTCATGAATTTCTGATTGTTCTCTCTCTTGTTTTTAATTCTGCACCTTTACCCTTTCTTTTGGATTTTCCAAGTATTTGCATATCTGTTCAATCACACCTTGTAATTTTTCTTAGTTCATGGGAGATAGCATTCATGGGTCTGAAAATGTCTTTGTTTTGTCCACATATTTGATGACCTTTGACTGGGTGTAGAAACCAAGCCTGAAACTTATTGTTATTATCATTATTGTTATTTGTTACTTAGGGTTTTTTCTCCACACCTCTGACTTTCAGTGTAACTAAAATATGTGCGGCCATTCAGGTGCTCGTTTATTAATAGACATCTTATTATAATTTATTTTCAATCTGGACTATTTTACAACTTTGAAATACCTTGAATATTGGCATTTCATGATCATAGATCTAGGTATGAGTCTCCACTTCATTTTTTTCAGCTCTCTCTATGTCCTTCCTATGATACAACTCTGGCTTCCAGTCTCGGCAAATTTCTACCTCTCTGTTAAGTAGTCAAATATAGGATATACTATAATAATCCTGAATGTCTATTTTATCCTTTTTAAAAAATTATACTTCCCAGCTTTTGGGATTTTTTCTACATATTGGAGAGTCCCTCAAAAATTGTCTTTCTTTTTTCCATTTTTATTTTTCAAATTTGCAGTTCTATTTCTAATTTCTTAGAACTCTTTCTGTGACTAATAATTATAATTAGTCACTCCAAGAATGCAAATGTGAGTGTTGCTTAATATTTAGTTAATATTTCCTGATAGATTTTTTATTCCTCTAAATATTCCTATTTTCTTACCTTATTTTTTTTTCCTTTTGTGTTAATTGTTGGGTGATGTTTCATTATCTAGTCTTATTTAAGTTAAGGCAGTAAAGAAAACCTGTATGTGCTTAGGTGTCTGGTCAACTAGCTTTTGTTTTAAGTCAATAGGATGAGGTCCTACCCATCACCTTGGAAAAATCCTACTAGTTAATGCTAAAAAGAATAAATTTTAATCTGGTTTGATAAAACTCACCATATCAGCTTTAGTTTTACAAATCATTTCTATCATTTCAATAGAGAATAAGGCTCTGATATGTTTACGTCGGCTAGTGCACACAGGCTGCAGAGGGAGAAGTGGGTAAGTCAGCGGTCCATACGCACACCTGTGTGGTGTCCCCCCCTTGCTGCATGTCTTGCTGAACATGGCTCACTTCCTGACTGTAGGAGCATTAGTGTATGCTCTATACTGTGGCTTCCTCGCTCTTGCTAATCCAGAAATTTGCTTTTGAAAATATGTTCAGTATGGGAATACCTTCATGTTCTCTTTGCCTCCATATTCCTAATGGGGTCCTGAGAAAGAAGAGATAAAGGGAGGCATGGCTCAGTCTGCCACCTTGAAATGGAAATACATTCTGCATATATCTATGGAATGCCTACCATGGTGAAAAACCTTGCTATATTTTTATGAACAGAAAAAAATGGTCTTTAATGTTATAATATTTACATTCTAATAGCTATGACAATTGATAAGTATACAACTAGTTACAATATAATTAAAAATTTTTGTAAGTCACAGGAAGAGAAAAAACATACCTAAGCACATACAGGACCTAAGCAATTAAGTCCAGCATTAAAGATAAAAAAGAGGCAATTTTACAACGAGGATGTGGGTAGAATATCACAGGCAAAAGGATCTCGTTAGCAAAGGCCTTTGTGCAGCAGAAAAAAGGACAGAGTCCAGGAGAATGTGAGTGAGCAGGTTGTTAACTAAGGAGAGTTTAGAGCCGAAGGCCAAAGGCATGTTATTCAGAGCATTGTCATCTTAGGGGAGTGTGGATTTTACGTTCTTTGAAATGTTTTATTCAGGGGCATGGAATGGTTTAATTAATGTTTTAGGAATATCATTTTGTTTTTTTGAAGAGAAAGTTTGGAGAGGAAAGGTGGTAGGAGGAATGTCAGGAGCTGATAAGAATGATTCAGGCGTGAGACCGTGACCTGAGCAGATATGGTAGCAGAAGAGAAAGAGAATCAATGCTATTTGGGTGTGAAGGAAACCACTGAGACTTACTGATACATTGATAATGGGAGGTAAGACAAAAGAAGAATCCAGATGACTCTTGAGTTGTTTAGTACAAAACTGACTGTGTTGTGAGATTTTTATGAAAATGGAACTAGTTTAACTTTGGATTCATTAACTTGAACATGCCAGTAAATCATTCACATGCAAATGCCAAGACAAGAAGGCCACACTGAGAACTTAATTGTTTTATTAGCACACTAAAAGCCTGGTGCAGTGGATTTTTGCCCAGGGGCTGAGGTGGGGTGGTCCCTCAGCCTGGCCTGCACCCTCTTGCAATCTGGAACCCCTTGGAGGATGCCCCACTGCCAGGGGTCGGGCCTAAACCAGCAGTGGGACATCCCCCAAGGGATGTAGCAGTGTGCCAAGTGGCAGGTGGCCAGGGAGGAGCCTGAGCTGGGGCCGGGTGCTGTGCCACTCACGCTCATCCCTGCCCACTGCACCTGCCGCCACTGCTCGGTAGTGCTGCCTCAGAGTCGGGAGAGGCTCTGGCCACCACAGCTGTGCTTGTCAGCCATGAGCCCAGCTTCTGGCTGAGTGGTACTCCCCCTGTGGGAGCACACTGACCACCAGGGGAAGCTCCTGCATTGAGAGTCTGCCCCCTGGTGGACAGTGAGCATCATAGTAGTGACTGGTCAACCAGTTGTTCTGGTTGTTCCGGTCATTCAGTTGTAACAGTTGCTTAGGTTTTTATATATATTAGAGGCTCGGTGCATGAAATTCATGCACAGGAGAAGGTCCCTCAGCCCAGCCCGCACCCTCTCCATTCCAGGACCCCTCAGGGGATAGAAAAATAAGGGTTTTGAAATACAACCTGGTAGGCTTGAAAGCAACAACATTTGCGTAAAAGGGCATAAGTTGCAGTCAGCAACAAAACTTGGTTAATATTCTTTTGTTGGAAAGGCGTGGTTTGGGCAAAGGAGGGAAGGAGACCAGCTCTATAAAAGGGAATGTCTGATTAGGCCGTTCCCACAGCAGAGAGGGGCAGGTGCGGCAAAGGTTCAGGCTGTCCATAGGCAAGGATGTCTGTGTGTGTGGGACACCAAAGGACACTTGTCACGCCTGAAACACAATTTGCTAACACTCACAATTGTGGGACTCAGGGAGAATCACTGTTTTTAAAACTATTAGTTCCCTGACATATAAAATATACATACATATAAATATACGTGCACTCTTCTGAGCTTCCCCTGCCCTCCACTTAATATTTGGCTATGACCTTCTTTTCATGTCAACGAATTGGATGTGCAGACATGATTTTTTTAAAAAAATATTTTTATTGATTTTTTACAGAAAGGAAGGGAGAGGGATAGAGAGTTAGAAACATCGATGAGAGAGAAACATTGATCAGCTGCCTCCCGCACACCCCCTATTAGGGATGTGCCCACAACCAAGGTACATGCCCTTGGCCAGAATCGAACCTGGGACCCTTCAGTCCGCAGGCCGATGCTCCATCCACTGAGCCAAACTGGCTAGGGCTACAGACATGATAACACATGGCTATAGTGCTATCCCTGACTGTTTGACATTACTACGGTTTACTGCACTAACTCTTGATTGTGGGGCAGGTTGTTTCCGGTTTCCCCTGGCATCAACCACTACAGTGAACATAATTGCTTATTTGACTGTTTACTTAGGACACATTCACAGACATGGAACTCCTGCCCCAAAGATAATTCACTTGAATTTTGATCCACATTTCCAAATTGACTTTCTAGAAAGTGCTTCTGTTTGTTTAGTCCATTGGTTTTAAATCAGATTACACTCCCACAAACGGGGTAAGAGGAAACTGTTCAATGCGCCTTGGGCAAATCGCAAATGCTTGCTGAACTTGAGCGACCCCTTCCCGGCATAGTTGTCTGTGTGCTTTTCAGGGCACTTTTGAAGGAAGGAAAGGGATCTGGCACCCCTACTGCTCTCCCGCAGGGACAGAGCTGGAAAAGCAAAGTTTCCCAAGGAGGTGGAAGTGCAGCAGGGACCCTCCCAGCCTAGGGAGAGGCGCACCCAATGCCCCCTGAGCTCTGGGGCTGGGGCGGGCACATGGGGCAGGTCCAGCCCTGGCAGGCCACGGGGTGGAGTGGTGCAGCTTGGCTGTGTCCCCCTCTGGCCGCATCCCCGCCAGCCCTGAGAGGTAAGAGCCACCAGCACCCTTCCTTTCCCCTTCCCTGGCTGGGCAGACGGGTGGGGACAGCGGGTGGTAGGGAGACTGTCGCTCCCAATCCTGACTCCTAAACTCCACACGCTGTGTTACTGAGAAACCTTAGGCGGGGACAGGCCACCAGGCACAGGACCAGGGGGATCTAGGCTGGAGGGTGAAGTCCAGGGAGGCGCGGGTGGCACGGCCGGCACGGCTGAGGGCCCTGTGTGGGTGCGGGCATGTGAGTGTATGTGTGTGAGTATGTGTCGCTCGGGTCCACGCCCATGCACACACCCACTCCAGTGTGCAACCTCAGCCACCAGGAACCTCTGCAGAGCCTGCCGTCAGTTTTGATGCATCCAGTCCCAGCACCAAGCAAGTCTGAGAAATTTTCCCTAGACTGCCTCCTGCCTCCTGCCTCCTGCCTCCTGCCTCCCACCTCCCACCCCACGCGCAAGGCGCCCCACCTCCATGCACCTCCTGGTGACTGTTTGTTTCGTCGTTTTAGACATGAACTCACAACCCCCTCCCGCTGCCAGCCTGCTGTTCGGTTGTCTGTCTGGTCGTTTAGGTCGTGACGGCCCCTGGCTTTTTATATATCAGGATAGATATGAAACCACATGGCTGGGTGAGATGACCTGAGGAAAGAGAAGGAAGAGGGAGGAGGAGAGGGGACAGCATTTGCACTCAGGTCAGATGGAGGCAGTGGAGCTGGCAGCAGAGATGGAGAAATAATAAAATGAGGAACCTTAGGGGAAAGCCAGTCATTCTGAACTCAGTCATGAAAGTGAAGGGGAAACAATTCAAAGAAGGAGCTTCCGAGGGAGAAGCAGAGGTTGCTCGAGGCCGGGTGATTTGTGACGACGGCAATCTCCAAGAGCACAAGCTGATCGGAGTATTTTAAAGAGTGAATGATAGACAAGGAAGTGGTCAGAAAAAGAAACTGCAGAAAATTATTGTAAGAATTTTAGACATAAAGGGTACAGAAATGAACTGAGTGGGCGCACGGGGTGAAGGAGAATTTTGTATATTTGCTTGTTTCTTTGATTATACAATGAAAGACATTTCATCTTATTATGTGAACCTTCTGCCTTTAACGTTCCAGGTGGCCGGGGACAGGGGGCCACTTGCCTGGGTACGTGACCAGACTCGCTAGCTTTTCCCAGTCTGACTTCAAACTATTGTAACTTTATGTGTGAGCCACGACAGGGCACCTGTTAGAAAGCAGGGGCTTTGGGGGATGGAAATCACCCACGAGAGGTAGAGACAGATGGTTGATAGATGAATAGATAAATAATTGAGACGGATGGGTAATAGATGGGTGGACGGATGTAATGATGCAGGAAGAGAGAAACTAACCAGACAGGCAAAGCCAGAGAGAGGGCACCATGCGCAGGAGCACCCTCCCTTGCCCGGGAAAGAACAGCCCCGTCTGTTCAGTGACAGGGGAAGACGCTCTGGGAGGTGCACCTGCAGGAACGGCTCCCATCCTCCATGGACACTCGATGGCCAGATTGTAACGTGGAAGCGGGGGAGGCACTGACAGAGGGTGCGACCTGGAGTAGGACTGAGGACCGCCTCACTGGTGGGTGGCTACACGCCTCTGAGCTGCTGCTTTGCTGACTGTTCCGAGCCAAGCAGTCGCAGCACCGCCTGCAGTCACGTGGCTCTTTGTACCTGCTGCAGAGACGTCGTTCCCACAGCATAAACTGCCAGAGGCCGTGGCTCCTCTGGTGCGGCATCACTGACACCGTGCGGAGGAAGCTCATGACACACATTTGTTCAGTGAATGAATGAGCCAAGGAACGGCAGCCTCGCTCCCAAAAAGGATCTATGGGATCAAGAGAATGGCCAGTGGCCTGCAACCTCGCTTTTGGGGGGAAAAGTTAACTTTTGTCGAATTGTGCATCCTCTCCACGTTTTCCTTCTGTATTTCTTTCTCTCATCCAAATACAATAAAGCACGGAGCCACCATTTCAGGCCAAACCCTTTTGAAAAGTATTGCTCCCTAATGTAAAAGCTGGCTTTCAGCCCAAATGCCTGTAACTGATTTAATTGGACAAATATTAGAACGGATTAAAATTTTAATCACAGATCCTCTGAGTCAGATGCTCTGTCAGTTAATGGTTGCATCCCGGACGCCTTCTGGAGATCGCTGGACTCAGCGCCTCCCCGAGGCCCTCCCACAGACCACGAGTGCCTGGATTGACTCCACTTTCGCTTCTGCTCCCAGGCAGCGGGTGCCCAGTGGCACAGCCACTGTGGCCTGAGCAGATGTATGAACGGTCCCCAGCGTGTGTGCCCACAGCTGGGCGCCCACTGGCATCACTGCCCCGCTGCGCTGCTGGGCCCGTCCCTGGTGCCTGGCTCAGGCTGATGGCCAGCGCCCTGCGCATGCTCGCAGCTGTGTGGGCCCCAGTGGACTCACCCTAGCAGCACACGTGGCCTCGTGATCCTGCAGTTTTCAAGAGCCTGAGTACTCATCTCCTGGGTGCTCTAGCCCTTTCAAGGATGAGGCTCCGTCAGGCTCAGGGGCTTCCTGTGCTGGAACAGTGAGGCAGGTGAGGGGAAATTATCTTC